ATACTGACATTCCCCCTATAATGTGCTAAGTATTATAAAAGGTGCTTGTGTCCATTATCTTATTTAATCTTCAAAATAACCCCATGAGGTAAATGCCATTATTTCTCTTTCACATGTTGGGAACTGGCTTCGGAGAGGTTACATTGCTTAACCAAGATCATAGAGAGAAGTGGCCCAGCCAGGGTCCAAACCCCATGTCTGTCTGAGATTTCGCTAAGCCATCTCCTTCCTGCTGGGTTCCAGGAATCTTTACTTTTGCCCATTCGATCTTTTTCAGTTTCTAAATCCTCCGCATCACTTTCCAGTATACTACTCACCTCCACTTGTCTCGCAGGAACAGAGGAGGAAGGTCATCCCTCCCAGCAGGTAACTAGACCATGGGTTCATCTTGCTTGGCCTCTTCTCTCTGAATTGAAAGGAGACAAAAATTTGGCTCCCACAGCTACCCTATTCTTCCCACTGACCCCCAGGTTTGATGTCATACATGTCATTTTTCTATCACCAGAAGATAATAAAATACAGCTTATTTTTGCAGAAAAGAAAATATGTGTGTGTGTAGACACCATGATTGTGGAGAGGAAGGTGTCATGGAAAGAAGAAATGAAGCTTTTGTTGAACACTGACTGTATTCCAGGCTAGACAGTCAACGCGCTTCATGCCACTTGGTTCTCAAAATTCAAGTGATAGGTTTTTGAAATCCCCATTTTACAGATGAAGAAACTAATGCTCAGAGAGATCTGGATTTGTCGTTATGAGGAAATGGCAGGATTCTAACCCACACAAACGGCCCCAAAGCCTCTACTCGTTGTTGGAAGCTTGACAATAGCCTTAAATCCTCCTCATGAATCCCACACACGCCCCTCCCGGCTGGATATTAGTCTCTCAAGGGTTAGAACCTACAACCCTCATCAGCCATAATTACTACTAGCTCTATGTTTCTCCATGTAATTTCCTCAGTGACACATAAACATGTCATTCTGAGCAACAAGAACACAGAGTTTGGAAGTGATTGTCTGGGTTTGACTCGAGGCTCAGCTACTATGACCGCTTCTTCTACTGGCTCCGTTATTGGGTGTGGGTGCCTACTGCGTCTCAGATGTGTCCTTTTATCTTTCTTTTTCTTTTCTTTTCTTTTCTAATTTTTTTATTTTTTTATTTTTTATGTTTAGGGCACCTGGCCAGTGCCGAGATCTGAACCCATGACCTCATGTATTTCAGATGTCTTAAGTTTTGTATTCACAATCCAANCAGTGTCAGAGTTCTTAAGCTCAATAAACCACTTCCCCTCTATGGGCCTTTTTTTTCTCATCTGGAGAGTGTAGGTTAATAATTTCTGCCTCTCAGGGTTGATATGAGGATCTTAATGTGAAAATGCTTTTCAGTTGTAAATTGTTTGTTGCACTTGTAAATTACTAAAGCAAAGGTCAGGACAGCTCAGGGGAGACATCAGATGGCACCAACCCTTAACAAATCCAGATGATGGGTCAGGAATCAAAAGCCATTGATTGAAGTCCTCTAACCGCTAGGTGGCTCCACTCAGCACTGAGTCTCAGAACTCGCTCCGAACTTTCTCTCTCCCCTCCTTTAATAACA